TCTACAGCAGAAGCAGAGTACATTGCTGCTGGTAGTTGTTGTGCTCAAATTCTGTGGCTGAAGCAACAACTACTGGACTATGGAGTCAAGACAAAGGAAGTGACAATCTTTTGTGACAATCAAAGTGCTATAGCCATCTCACAAAATCCAGTGCATCATTCTCGCACTAAGCACATTGATGTCAAGCATCACTTCATCAAAGATCATGTGGAAAAGAAAGATATCAAAATTGAGTATATCTCAACTGAAGAACAACTGGCGGATATCTTCACCAAACCACTAAGTGAAGCCAAGTTTTCCGATTTGCTTCACAAAATTGGTCTAATTCAATTAGACTAAGTGTGGTACACGTGGCAGTTCATTTTCCACGTCTGTCAAAATGGTGTGTGGGGACGTGGCCTTGGGAACAGTTAAAAACCCAATCGCCACTAGCCGCATAAATCGCCCACATTAAACCCAATCGTCACTATAATCAGACCTCAACTGCCCACTCAGCCCACTCAAATTTTTCATCGTCTTCTTCACCAGAATCTTCTGATAAAATTCTCAAGAACCCTAATCTTCTCACTCAAATTTCTGAGAAAATGAAGATTGTTGGCGCTAATATCCATTTCCAGAAGTTGGAAGCCAAGTGCTCCTCACCAACGTTCTATCAATCCTATCTGGAGATGATTGCTGCTCAAGAGCTCTCCGAAATTTCTTCATATGGAGATCCGATTCAAGTATGAGAACAAAGTTCTTGAATTCTATAAAAATGGAAAGGTCAAGACTGTCAAATCGAAGAAGGACCCACAAAGGACGATTCAAGTCATCAATTCCACTGTTGGAGGGACAAAAGTGAAGCTTTCGCAGAAGAAATTGGGAGAAAAGCTTCACCTTCCCAATTCTAGAGTTGAAATTGGGAGACTTCCAGCCAAGAATCTGGATTGGAGCATTATTGGAATTTCTGGGCAAAATCCCTCTGGCCCAGCGAAGAAAACTCATGTGAACAACGACTACAAGCTAGTCCTTGAACTGGTCATCGCATGCCTCGAATGTGGAAGTGGAGGACATGCTGATGACATCACCCAAGAGAGGGCCTTCATCATCAATGCCCTCATTACCAAGTCTAAGGTAAATTGGGCTGCTCATTTCTTCAATTCCATCTCAAAGCATCTGGGAAAACCCAACCAGAAATACCTTTG